CGCTCAGTATACCTTGTTGTTTTCATCCTTGATTGCATAGAGGCTGTTCTTGTAGACCCTTTTTTTGGTGCCAGCTCGAGTCAGGGTGGTTTCAGTGAGGTCTGTCAGGTACTGGATATTGCTGTCAGCTTTCTCCAGGTCATCATAGATGTCGCAGTTCAGAGGGACCAAGATGTGGAGCTTCCAGGTCTCCCTGCATGTCAGCATGTTGGGGTTGGCTCTGCTGAATTCCTCCATTGACTTTTTCACCCCTGGTGGAAGAGAGCATCGGGCAGAGGTGCCTGGCATGAGGATAGTTGCTTTCTACCTTGCTCCCCATTTCCCTGCTAACACTGTGAAAGTGGGAGGATTGTTATGAGGAGCTATTTCTATCTGTAGGCATGATAATGCAGGGAAAAAGTTACGTACGTGGCAGGACTATTTTTAGGTACCCAATGTAGTAAGACCAGGCAAGCCCATGAGCAACATTCTGCTTGGACCTCTCAGACATCTCAGACATTTCCACTTCTGAGGGCTTCTGCGGAGGGAAGGAAAGACAGAGCAGTGGTGATGAAAGCAGCCACCTGGTCTCTTCTTCAACAGTCAGTTCTCTACAGGGATTGGAGAGCAGCCGCCCTCTCCAAAGAGATCTGGAGAGTAAGCAACCATGCTGCCCCCTTCCACATCCACGTCGGGGCATGGGGCCAAGAGCCCTCGATAGCCCGCATAGCCCCTGCAGATGAGGAAGCTGACGCTGGGGCAAGCTGGGCACTATTTTTGGCTGCACTCTCCACTGGGGTCATGTGTCCCAATGCAACTCGTGCATCTGCCCAGTGCTTCCAGCATGTGGGAGGAGACATCCCAGCACCTGATGGTGGGGTTTCCAGGGCCACCAGTGGGCCCTGCCCAGCTCTGTGTGTTCATTTAGGTGGAAATGGGTGTTCAGTCCCCGCAGGCACCTGGCAGCTGCCCTCCCCGAAACGCCTTTCCGTAGCTTTTGTGACCTTCCAGCTCTGCTGGGGTAAAGCAGAGCCCTCCCAGTGCTGCAGAGGTACCTGGAGCTTGGCTCTGCAGCCCACAGCATGCTTGATAATTAACCCTTTGGAGACCACACAGGCTGCTCTTTCCCCTCAAGCGCCAGCTTGACTGACAGATTTAAAAATACTCCTGTTTTTTGTGTCAGCGGGGCTCCTGCTGCGGTAGGGCTGCTGCCCGCACCCCGGGGCGGCTGCGCTCATTAAAAGGCGGCCTGGCCCTCCTGCCGGCACGCCTGGCAGCGTGAGGCCAAGGAGATCAGCTCTTCAGGGCTGAGCTAACGAGAGTGTTTCTCCCACTGTGGGGCTGCCTGCGGGTGGGCTGTGCGTGCAGGGGCCATGCAGAGCCGGGACGTGTGTCCCCACCACTGCTGAGGGCTGCAGTGCTGCCTGGGAAGCTGCCCAGGCTAGAGGTGTTGGTGGCCTTACGTGGAGCCCCAGAGCGAGGACGAGGAGCTCACACAGGCTGGCCAGGCCGAGGTGGAGGCTGAGCGGCTGCCCATCTCCATCGAGAAGAGCCACGTAGGCTGAGCCACAGATGAGCAGCATGGGCCCGTGCCAGTGCAGGGAGAAGCAGGCGCTCAGGGCCCTCCAGAAGCTGCCGTGGTGCCTGGGTGGGAGAGGGAAACAGGAGTAAGGCTGGTGGCCACCTGCCCACCATCCCCATCTGCAGCCCATGGGATGCTCCCACCTCCCTGCCAGTGCCGCTGACCTTCTAGAGCAGGACGGAGCCTGGGAGCCCTGTGCGACCCTGCCCAGTGCACCCTGGGTGGTCCCCCAGCCAGGAGAGGGCTTGGATCTCTTGCAGCACCCGTGGGTCTCAGAGGGGAGCAGATAAAATGTCACCCTGCACAGCAAGGGGGGACTGTCTCCAACAACCCCATGCTCTCCGGCACTGGCTGGTGGGGGAAGGCTGGGAGCCAAGATCTGTTCCCCAGGGAAAGGGAACACTAGGGAGCTACCACGGAGAGGAGATGGTGAGGTCCATGGACATACAGGGGATATGGGCAGGCAGGAGACGGGGAGAGGAGGAGAGGGAGGAAGAGATGAGAGAGATGGGAGGCTGATGGAGAGCCGTGTGTGCTGCCGGGGCGCAGCAGAGCATTGCCACAGAGTAGGGGTACAGACAAGGAGCAGATTCCCCCACAACACCCGGAGGCTGCTGTGCCCTGGTCCCCAGGGTGTTCCCAGGAGCCCGGGAGACAGCCACCCCCATGCCGGCTCACCTAGATTGGAGGTGGAAGATCTCCTCAGCCAGGTAGCAGATGCCCTTGAGCAGCGCCCTGATCTCCAGGACCACAAAGTGGAAGGTGAGGGTGCGGGCGGTGGGCATGAGGGGCTCCCCAGCAAGGTACAGCGCTGTGGCGCACAGAGCCAGGAGCAGGTACGTGGCACGCTGCGCTCGCCCTCCCCGGGCCTTGGGGATGAGCAAGGTGGTGGAGTGGCTGGGCCGCCGCAATTCCTGAGACATCTGGAGCAGAAGGTGAGGGGATCAGCAGCCACGGTTGTCCCTGGTGCCCAGGGAGTGGAGAAAGGGGATGCACATGCACATCCAGTGCTCACTGAGCACCACAAAGCACACAGCAGAGCCCTCACTTCCTTTGCAAGCTGCTGATATGCAGCCGCTTCTGGGGAGGTTCCCTTGCGTGCTGCCCGGGCCACCTCATGGCTGCCCCTGTGCCCAAATGGGATGGCAGGGCAGAGCCTGGCTGGCCACCCCGCTCCCAAACAGATGCCAACCCTGCACCAGCCCTCCCTGCTCCGCAGCCACGGGGCCGTCACTCCTCTCGCCGCACTCACCGGAGCAGTTACCAGCCGCGAGAGCGGACACCGCCTGGGTTTCCTGCGCTGCCGTTAATGGGCTCTGCGCTCCAGCCCGGGCAGCCGCAGCTCCGTTTGGAGGCTGCAGTTACAGATGGAGACTCGGAGCCTCTCCGCTGTACAGGCTTCTGGTGCCACAGGTGGAGCTGCACAGTTCCCAGCACTGAGAAAAATGAAAATGAAAGCAGCTATCGCGGCCGCGGGCAGCTTGCAGAAAGTACCAGAGCCCTCCCACGCAGGGTACCTGTGAGGTCTCGCAGCCCGCAGGAAATCCAGGCACTGGGCAGCGCTGGGTGGATGTGGCAGGTTTCGATATCCGTGAGCTCAGACCTCTGGAAAGCTGCACCGTATCCGTTGGGTCATAGTGGGTCTGAGGCGAGCCGGAATGAGGAAGGAAACCGGAATTTATTGAGATGGAATTTATTAAGTGCAGCAGGTTTCCAGGGGTGAAACAGAAGCAAATTCCTTCTAGCAGAGAGGGTGACTCACCGCGCCCTGGATTCCCCCACCCCACGCAGCTCTGGGAGATGCTGGCTCAGGAGGCGGTGTCCACGGGCACTGGCAACAAGGCTAGGGGCTTCCTGCAGCTGGGCTTTTGCTGGCCAGTAAGGCACTCAAGCCTCTCAGGTCCTAGTGACCATGGACCCAGAGCAGCTGAGGTACTCAAGGCTTTCTTTGACTCGGTTGTTATTGCTGAGGTTTGCCCTCAAGTCCACCAAGTCCTAGCAGCAGAGTCTGCAGCGGTGAGGCGTTACCCATCCTAGAGGGAGACTGACACATACGCAAGCCCATAGGACCATGTGGGAAGCACTTGAGGATGCTGAGGGGGCTGGCTGATGCCATGGCAAGGCTCTTTTCTGATCTCTTTGGAAGATCATAGCAATCGGGAGGTTCCTGATGAGTGGGAGAAGGCAAACATGACACACGACTTTGAACAGGGTTGAGAAAGAAGAGCTTGGTGAACTACAGCCTGCCCAACGTCACCTCTGTCCCTGCGAAGGTGATGGAGCAAATCCTCCCGGCAATGGCTGCCAAGCACCTGATGGACAAGAAGGGAACGGCCAGCAGGGATTTACAAGGGGCATATCACTGCTGACCCACCTGAGTGCTTTATGAGGTGACATAACTGGCCGTGTGGATGAGGGGAGAACTTTCACTTTAGCAAAGCTTTCAGCATGGTCTCCCATGGCCTCTCTGTTGCCAAACTGGGTAGATACAAGCGAGGTGCACTGCTCCAGGGACACCTGCATGCTCGATTACCTCTCTGAAATGCCTGTACACCAACGCATGCAGTGTGAGGAATACGCAGGAAGAAGTAGAGATCTGCGTGAGGTCTCAAGGCCAATGATCTCATTGCAAAGGTGGAATAGGTTGCATAACCGGAATGCTGTCATGGATGGCTTTTTAGGAAAGACAGGCCACCGGGGCGAGGTGGTGGAGCTGCTCTTTATGTGAGAGAGCAACTGGAATGTATTGAGCTCTGCCCAGGGGTGGATGAAGAATGAATGGAGAGCTTATGGGTAAGAATTAAGAGGCAGGCTAATATGGGAGACCCTGTTGTGGGTGTTTACTACAGACCACTGGATTAGGAAGAGGAAGTCGACGAGGGCTTCTACAGACAGCTGGAAATAGCCTCATGATCCCAGACCCTGGTTCTCGTAAAGGACTTCAGCCACCCTGATATTTGCTGGAAAGGCAACACAGCCAGGCACACAGTCCTGGAGGGTTCTGCAGAGCATTGATGATAACTTTTTGACACAGGTGGTGGAAGAGCCAACGAGGAAAGGTGCGCTGCTGGACCTCATGCTGACAAACAAAGAGGGACTGGTTGGGGACGTGAAGGCTGTGGGCAGCCTTGGCTGCAGTGACCATGAGATGGTGAAGTTCAGGATCCGGCTTGGAAGAAGCAGGACAATAGGTAGGATTACAACTTCTGAAGGAGAGCTAACTTTGGCCTCTTCAAAGACCTACTTGGAGGAATCCCATGGGTTGGGGCTCTAGAAAGAAGCAGGGTGCAAGAGCTGGTTAATATTCAAGCACCACTTCCTCCAAGCTCAAGATCAGTGCATCCCTATGAGTAAGAAATCAGGCAAAGGAGGCAGGAGACCTGCAGGGATGAGCAAAGAGCTTCTGGAAAAACTCAGATGGCAGAAGGAGGTTTACAGAATGTGGAAAGAGGGACTGGCCACTTGGGTGGAGTATGGGAACATTGTCAGAGTATGCACGGAGGCAATGAAGAAGGCTAAGGCCCACTTGGAATTAAACCTGGCAAGGGATATCAAGGACAATAAGAAAGGCACCTTCAAGTACATCAGTAGGAAAAGGAAGACTAGGGAAAATGTGGGCCCATTGCCAAATGAGGTAGGTGTCCTGGTGACAGAGGATGGAGAGAAGACAGAGTTAGTGAATGCTGCCTTTGCTACAGTCTTTACTGCTAAGGCCAGCCCTCAGGAACCCCAGACCCTGGAGGTAAGAGAAAAAGTGCGGAGAAAGGAAGACTTTCCCTTGGTTGAGGAGGATTGGGTTAGAGATCATTTAGGCAAACTCAACATCCACAAATCCAAAGGGCTGCACCCATGAGTGCTGAGGGAGCTGGCAGATGTTATTGCTAAGCCACTTTCCATCATCTTTGAAAGGTCCTGGAGAACAGGAGAGGTGCCTGAGGACTGGAGGAAAGCCAATGTCACTCCAGTCTTCAAAAAGGGCAAGAAGGAGGGCCCAGGAAACTACAGGACGGTCAGCCTCACCTCCATCCCTGGAAAGATGATGGAACAGCTCATCCTGGATGTCACCTCTAAGCATGTAGGGGAAAAGAAGGTGGTCAACATGGATTCACCAAGGCCAATCTGATAGCCTTCTATGATGGCATGACTGGCTGGGTGGATGAGAGGAGAGCAGTCGATATTGTCTACCTTGACTTTAGCAAGGCTTTTGACACTGTCTCCCTTAACATCCTCAAAGGTAAGCTTAGGAAGTGTGGGTTAGATGAGTGGACAGTGAGGTGGATTGAGAACTGGCTGAATGGCAGAGCTCAGAGGGTTGTGTTCAGCAGTGCTGAGTCCAGTTTGAGGCCTGTAGCTAGCGGTGTTCCCCAGGGATCAGTACTGGGTCCAGTCTTGTCCAACATATTCATCAATGACCTGGATTGAGGGGACAGAGTGTACCCTTGGCAGGTTTGCTGATGACACAAAACTGGGAGGAGTGGCTGACACAGCAGAAGGCTGTGCTGCCATTCAGCAAGACCTGGACAGGCTGGAGAGTTGGGCAGAGAGAAACCTAATGAAGTTCAACAAGGGCAAGTGTAGGGTACTGCATCTGGGGAGGAATAACTCCATGCAGGTTATGGGTACAGGTTATGGGTTGGCCTGCTGGAGAGCAGCTCTGCTGAGGGAGACCTGGGAGTCCTGGTGGACAAGTTGACCATGAGCCAGCAATGTGCCCTTGTGGCCAAGAAGGCAAATGGCATCCTGGGGTGCATCAAGAAGAGTGTGGCCAGCAGGTTGAGGGAGGTTATCTGGAGTGCTGTGTCCAGTTCTGGGCTCCCCAGTTCAACAAAGACAGAGAACTACTGGAGAGACTCCAGTGGAGGCTGCAAAGACGATCAAGGGATTGGAGCATCTCTCTGATGAAGAAAGGCTGTGAGACCTGGGTCTGTTCATCCTGGAGACGAGAAAACTGAGAGGGGATCTCATCAATGCTTATCAATATCTCAAGGGTGGATGTCAAGAGGATGGGGCCAGACTCTTTTCAGTGGTGCCCAGTGACAGGACAAGGGACAATGGGCACAAACTGGAACACGGGAAATTCCATCTGAACATGAGGAAAAAATTCTTTACTTTGACGGTGCCAGAGCACTGGAACAGGCTGCCCAGAGAGGCTGTGGATTCTCCTTCTCTGGACATATTCTAAACCTGCCTGGATGCATTCCTGTGCAACCTGCTCTAGGTGAACCTGCTCTGGCAGGGCAGTTGGACTAGATGATCTCTGAAGGTCCCTTCCAGCCTCTATGATTCTGTGATTCTGTGAAAGCCTTGGAGAAATCCAGGTAGACAATGTCCACTGCTGGCCCCACATCAACTAAGCAGGTTACTTTGTTATAGAAGGTGATGATGTTTGTCAAGCACGATTTGCCCTTGGTGAATCCGTGCAGGCTTTTCCTAATTATGTGCTTCATTTGACTTGTGATAGCCCCCAGGAGGATTTGTTCCATAACTTTCCCAGGGACTGAAGTAAGACTGATGGGCCTATAATTTCCTGGATCCTCCTTTAAGCCCTTCTTGTAGATGGGGGTGACATTAGCTTTCTTCCAGTCTTCTGGGACATCATCAGATTATGGAGAGCAGCCTCACAATGATGCCAGCCAGCTGTCTTAACACCCTTGGGTGGATATTGTCAGGGCCTATCAATTTGTAGGGGTCAAGCTCCTGTAACAGTCCACAAACCAACTCTTCCTTCACTGAAGGTGGGTCTGTGCTTACACTGACCTAGATTGTTGTTCCCAAGGCCTGGGGCCCAACAGTGCTGGCAAAGACAGAGGTTGAGAAAGTGTGGAGAACCTCTGCCTTTTCAGCATTTGTTGGTGACTAATTCACCTCTCCTGTTTAACAGCGGGCCAGTATTTTCCTGCTGTTTCTGCTTCTTTATGTACCTGAAGAACCCTTTCTTGTAGTTTTTGACATCTCTGGCCAATTTCAATTTGAGCTGAGCTTTTGCTTTTCTAACTGCATCTCTGCACGCCCTGGTAATGCCCTTGTAGTTCTCAATGGGTATTCGTCTGCTTTTCCATCTCTGGTACGCTTCTCTCTTGGTTTTGAGCAGACTCAGAAGCTTGCAGTTAAGCCAAAAGGGTCTTTTGCTCTGCCTACCTCCCTTACCTTTAAAGGGGGTGAAATGTTTTTGTACTTTCAGGAGAGTGTTCTTGAAAATCCCACAGCACTCCTCAGCTCCTTTATCCTCCATGGAAGCTTCCCATGGAACCCCTCCCAGCTGAGCTCTGAGCGAGCTGAAGTTTTCTCTTCTAAAATCTAAAACCTTTGTCTTAGTGCTAACCTTCAGCGTGGTCAGCAGGATCCCAAACTCCACAATATTGTGATGACTGTAGCCAAGGTGATCACTAACCTACAAAGCAGGTCGTCTTGGTTTGTGAATAGCAAGTTCAGAGGTGCCTCATTCCTGGTTGGCACATCTAACATTTGTATGAGGACGCAGCCCTCCATGCATTTCAGGAACTGTACTGTTCTTCCAACAAATGTCTGGGTAGTTGAAGTCACCCATAAAAACCAGGTTCTGTTGACCCAAAGCTTGCTTAAGTGACCCAAGTATTGCTTCGTTGGCCTTATGGTCTTGGTTTGGAGGTCGGTAGAAGATGCCTACTCTAAGATCCTCATTGGAGCCGACCTCTCTAATCTTCGCCCCGAGGCATTTGATAGGGCTTCCACAGTCACCGTAGTTGACTTTTACACATTCAAGGTTCTCCTTAACATAGAGCGTCACAACTTCCACCCTTGGGAGCATCCAGAAGAGCTGAGCTGGCCTGTAACGCAACATAGGCTGGTGTCTAGAAGGGCCTTGGTGTACTGCTTGGAACTGGGGAAGTGATCAGCCTCTCCTGACATACCAATGGACATGGGCAGAGTGGACAGCTGTAGCCAGTACTTGGTTTAAACAAAGACGGGTTTTGGTGAAATGCCCAAGAACTTGGAATAACCTGGAAAAAGAATATAAAGATCCTACAGTGGTAGGAGGTGAGATCCATTGCAGGTAGCCAGATGGCCTGAATTTGCTTGAAGTCTCCCCCACCTCTGGAGACCTACTGGCTGCCCTGTATGAGGTGCCTTCTGTATAAGGTGGATTAACTCAGGAGCTGGGCCTGGCGGCTGGCCCTGTGCAAGACTGATGGCGGTTAGGAGCATGTGGCACGTCCCCAACCAAGAGCCAGGCCAGGAACATGGTGCTTTCCCTGGTATCTCCTGGGTAAAGGACTGCTCCTGGCCAGCAGGCAGGCAGCAGGTGCAACAGAGCCTGCTCCTGCCACAGGATGGGCACTGCAGCAGCGCTTGCTCCTTGTTTTGTTGCATCACGTGCTGTTGCCCTGCAAAAGCCGGCAGAGCTGCTGGCTTCAGCCGAAAGGCGAGCTGCCCAGTGACAGCTTTACACCGGGGATGCCTGTGGGGAGGAGGTTCGGATGCCAGGCTGGTGTTAAAAGTGGCTTCGGTCCTTTGGCTAAAAAAGTGCTGCAGTTGGTGTTTTCAGTGCTGCAGTTGCACCACCCGTGTACCCTCAGAGGTCCTGCACACTAACAGGGCTTGCTTTATTGCCCACCTTAGCAAAAATCAAGTGCTCTGCAATATTCTGAGAAGACTGAGGGGGGATCTTATCAATACTTATAAATACTCAAAGGGAGGGTGCCAGGGGGATGGGAACAGTCTTTTTTCAGTGGTGCCCAGTGATAGGACAAGAGGTAATGGACACAAACTTGAACATAGGAAGTTCCATCTAAACATGAGGAGGAACTTCTTGGAGGGTGGCAGAGCAGTGGCACAGGCTGCCCAGAGAGGTGGGGGAGTCTCCCACTCTGGAGCCATTCCCAACCTGCCTGGGCTGATCTCCAGAGGCCCCTTCCAACCCCGACCATTCTGTGATTCTGTGTTGCTCTGGGCTGTGTGAACTGGATCCCTCTCACTGATGCGGTGAGGAGCCATCCATGTGCTAGGGAAAATCTTGCAGAAGCAGGCGAGCAGCTTCCTCCAGCTCCCAAGCACATGTTGTCTCTCACTTGTTCATCAAAGCAGTTTCGTTGCGGGACAAAAGAGGCGACAGTCTGGGTAGCCAGGGAGATGTCCTGGCCAAAGGATTTGGTAATTGCCCCCTCTGTCTTCAGATTATGGCGGGTCCTGATTTTTGCTTATAAAATCCAGGTGGAGATTGAACACCTTTCCATTGATGTACCCAGCTTTGGAGAGCCTTTGCCTCACCGTGACACCAAGCTGTGACCCCTCAGCAATGACGAGTTTAAAATCCTGACAGCAGCACGGACCATCCCTCCGTCCCCGAGTCGTGGGGCTGCTCTGAGCGCTGCATGCCCCTTCTCCATTCTCCATTAAGGTTCTTCCTTCCTTTTGTGGCACCAGAACTTCCTGCCTAAGAGAGAGTTTTTATCCATTTAATAAACATCAGTGGATCAGCCTGTGATTTATGCAGTCTTCTTTTGATCCCCTGGAAACTGTCAGCAACCGCGGTATCCTGTGGCACTGAGGCCCTGATTACACGTTGGGTGGAGAAGTAATTTTTGCCTGTGTTGAAGCTGTCACAGGCTAGTGCTCTTTGGGGTGCAACTGCTCTTGTGCTAGGAGAGACATGGACAACCCTCCCTTTGCTCCTCCCCAGATCACTGATGGCGTCAGACCTCAGCCGTCTCTCTCCCAAGGCTGGAGCATCTCAGATACTCAAGTTATTCTTCAAAAAGAAGC